TTATTGCAGATTAAGGCCATCCAAAGGTAAACAAGATATCCAACTTTTCCAAGGGCAGGTGGGTGTTCACCACACGCTCGGACATATAAATCCACCCCCGTAACTCTTCCCGACATTGTGTGCTGCGTATTTCGGATTCGGGGGTTGTTTCGAGATCTGCCGGCATCGCAACGATTCGGAACATTTTGGTAGGTTGGTGTTTTTTTTACATGATGACGCAACTCGCGCAGCAACCAGCGCTCTCGCCTGGCTCGGCCACGTCCATCTTGCCCTCGGGTGCGCGGGCGCCGAACGCGCCGGAGCCGGAGGGGTACGAGGACATTTCCTTGTTGTAGCGACGGATCTCGCGGACGAGGTCGTAGAAGGCGTTCTCGACGTTGATACGGGACTTGGCGGAGGTTTCGATGAACTTGCAGCCGAACTGACGGGCGAGCGCTTCGCCCTCTGTACGCGGTGAGGGTTAGATTCGGGGTTCGGATTTAGGTTTCCAGAGAGTTCAAGCGGAGAGTTCAGGGTAATGGAAACATACCTGCCTCGGAGACCACACGCTCCTTTTCCAAATCACACTTGTTGGCAACAACAATGATGGGGAAGTAATCCTTGTCCTTGACGCGCAGGATTTGCTGTTGGAAGGTCATGATTTCTTCGAAGGATTGGCGTGATGTAATGGAGTAGATGAGCAGGAATCCCTCGCCGGTTCGCATGTATTGTTCTCGCATAGCCGAGTATTCCTCCTGGCCTGCTGTATCCAGGACATCCAACAAAGCGACTTCATCATCGATCACACACTGCTTGCGGTAGGAATCTGTAGGCGGAAGAAGGTTCCGAATTAGCCATGCTGTTCAACCAGGGCCCGGCACCGCTGGGGAAAAGCGATAGGACCCGCGCGGTTGATAAAATGGGTTGAGGGGGGACGTCGAAGTGCTCACCTTCAATTGTTGGATCGTACTCGTCCACGAAGTGGCTCTGGATCAGCTGGATGGTCAAACAGGACTTGCCGACACCACCACCGCCGACGACCACCAGCTTGTATTCTCTTAGGAACTGTTGGAGACGGGGTTAGCCATTTGGAATGACCAAAACAAGTCGGATCCGGCACATTGGATCACCATCTCACCTTTGAAGCCATTATGAGTTAGTCTCAGGGAAGATGAAACAGAAAAGAGATATTAAGCCGATCAGAAAGGAATCGGACAATTTAAAGCGAAATCCACCTGGGTCGTTTAAGAAAAAAACAAAAGGAGAATTAGGGGGAGAGTTCGGAGGTTGGAACTGGCGGGAAGAAATAAATGGAGAAAACCAGCGAGCTTCCAAGATTTGGCGAATTCGTTCAAATCCGTCTGGGGTAAACAAAAGGATTTAGAATCAAACACAAAGAGATCTTGTTCCCTTTTTTTTTTTCTAGAGAAGACAGAATCGAAAGAAGAAGGGAAAGAAGGGGCGAAGGGAAATTCAGGAGATAGTGGGGAGGAAAAGGTGATTGGGCGAGGAAAAGGGGACATGCGCGCCATTGAATGATAGATTGCTTTTATATTTACTATTGTTGCTACCGTTTATTTTGGTTCTTCAGCTCTTCGATTCATCTATATAACACAAGTAGCACTGTGGGCGCCTTATCTCCAACTTCGCCTTCCTCCTTCCTCCTTCCTCCTTCATTCCGATATACGTTGGTACACTAAATTGTATCTCGGCCAGGGCATTGATTGGCTTAAGCCACGGACCCATTGAGGAACGTGCAATTCTAATATAGAGCGGAGATATTGCTCCTTTTACTTGCATCTCCATCAAGTCCGCAATTACCGGCCTCTGTTTTGTCTACTCCGTGCTGGTTCCAACACATCTCCAACATACCATCGCCAGATCAAGTCAGTTCCTCCAGAGTGGATCTGCCGTCCCGAGATGGGTCCTCTTTGGCGCCTTTGGGGATTGGCCTACAATGTCCACCCTCTACTCCATATTGGCTGGTGAGAGATAACACGAAGCCATCATCCAGATAGCAATTCAAGGTTGGGATAGTTGGGCACCAAACAGTCTGGATGCTTTGCTCGACACCGCATATTCATCTTGGCTTTCTTATACGCCTGGATGGCTTGCAGTAGACGCCCGCCTTGCATAATTGCATCATCCCGCCGCAACACAGTCAGCTCTGTCATTTTTGATGATTGGATCCATCCAAAAAATTGTGATTCTCGTCGCGGTTCCACTTTTAGAACCCCCATCGTACGAATCATCGGAACGTTTGATGCCGACAACTGGGTTTTCCCCGATCGCCGTATGCCTTACGAAGATCCAAGTCACGCCCGTTTTCTGACAGATGACACAGCGGCATATTGGACGTCCACACTTCTTTTCTTCGGTGTTCTCTGCTTATAAAATGCTTAGACTAGCGTTGACAGGCGGAACCCCGCGATTGAAGACTTGGATCTGGCCCCGGAGTATGTGCAGTGTCACATTTGGGCACCTCGAGCTAGGTAATGTCTATAACAAGCTTCACCTAGCTATACTTTGACACTCTTTGACTTTTTACCGATCATAGAATCCTTGAAATGATGTCAAAGCGAACGAAAATAAAAGTAAAAAGAACAATTATGCGCTTGGTCCACGGTTCTTCCCCGGGGGCCATGCCCGTCTTGACCTAGACAGGACTCTGTTGGTGTCTTTTCCACGGATGACTGGAACTCAATTCCTTGTCGGTTCAAATATTTGTCTCAACGTTGGCAAAGAGGCGAGATCAACCTGGGATGTCGCGATATTACTAGCTGGTCGACATTCAAATTTCAATATCCCATTCCATACATTATCTTAGAAGGTGAGATTTGATCATTCATAAGGCTGCATTCTTTGATTCGCAATGTGGGCTGATCCTGATATGACCCGTCAAACGGACGGTCTGTGATGGATCATGGCTCGGGTGATCATGCAACTGTCAGCATCCGGAAGTAGTGCGACTGTGTTTCGAAGCAGCGCTTATGAAGAACTACCATGGGACAATTACGAGAAGGCGAAAATGAGCCGCACAAATCGATATAGAAAATGCAATTGGTAGACATTATCCAGAATCTACTGACAAATCTACTTGCCAAGTCACACAGACGTGATACATACCTAGAACCAACACAACCTAGGCTTGCATAGTGCGGAGCGATCATGCTTGTCATGCCAACGGCCAAATGCATTTTGAAATCGAGAGGCGCACCATCCACATAGAGTGCTTTATACATATATCAACCAGCTCAATAAATGTATACTCGAAATTACAGCTGTCCGAGGAAATAAGAACCGGACAGATACCCCGGGATCACAGCTTAGAAAAGACCGAATCACACTCGACCTAACTTGGGACCGAAGGCATCACCAATCGCACTCGACGTGCAACAGGGCATGGGGGTACAAGTTCCTGGGCACATGAGCAATAATAATAAACACAACATGTCCAATCTGTAGATTTAAGTACCTGACCCTGAAGAAATCACCGTAAAAATCTGTCTAGAGAACGAGCGCGACCCAATCCGTGCCCTACCCAACGCCCAAGGAGACTAAACAAACTGACAACAAGCCAAACGCCGAATATCCCAAGCTCCATCCAATAACCTCCAATGTCTCTTGCAGATCTCCAAGTCGGCGGACTGTATGTCATTCTCCAAGCCCATCATGAACCACCCGAGCCCAATGAGTTCTACTGGGGTCTATACCTCCACTCAGACCCCGTGGGAGGGATGGCATACCACGTCATAGACACAGGATCTGGCCTGAGACCGGAGCACGAGTATACTGGTAGAATATTCGACACGCCGCTTCTGACGGGACTGTTCCGAATCGCCGATATCACTCGTCCCTTGCATCCATTTGTCGACAGGGTAATAAGGTCCTACGACAGCAGCCTCAACTGTCCCGGAAGAAGCAGCAACAGCAAGTTCTGGGTTTTGAATGTCCTTGCGCTACTGATCCAGCCTACGGCCACCGGATGGCTTCCAGTGAATTGCCATAACCTGCCGATCTTGGAGCAGGAAATCCGCGATTGGGGGAATCGCATGTCCCAAGGGCGATGTATATATCAGAGACTAAAGCCGATTGGATCTTCGACGATCTGCGGGTTGCCGGAATGGAAGATATAGCGTGAGTTGACCATTTCTCTCGGTAATCCTAGTGCGGGGGAAACATCGATTGACACAAAGGCAATGGAATGAATAGCCGAATACCCTATCTATTCAACCAGGTCCAATCATTTGACTATGGTTTCTTGTTTCGGGCGCCAATTGACGGGTGTATTATTTCGTGTTTATCAAATCAAGCGATTACTTGCATATTCTACCTGTCATTTTTCGGACCTAGGTTATTAATTCCAAAGCTTAAGCGTACTACATTGACTCATAGTAATCTGCTCTCTATCAATACTACAGTCACTTCCATAATCTCCCTTGGCAGCTCAAGTCTCATCCAAAGTAGAAACTGGTCAGGTGCCTGTGTGAGAAGTACCTCCACACCCGTAACAGTGTCCCACCCCTGGTTCTGCTGTGCTGCCGTCAATAGCGGCATCTTCCTCGGCTTGTACGACATCTCGATACACAAACCCAGATCTTCAAACAACGAGACTGATCCTCGGTAGTCGTATCATCGGGTGCCAGATTGAGGAGCAGTGGCGTTTGCGGCCTGGGGGGAATATATCCTGAAACTGGACCGGGGGGGGTTGCATGAATGTCTCGAGACAGCCGAATAGAACAAGGGAACTAACTTACTAAATTCTAGTTACTGGAAATGAATACTATAGACATGGAAGATCATTAGACCAAAAGAATCGGTTTCTCCAAAGATTTTGCCCATTAAATGTTTGGTCATCGTCGGCATGCTAAAACCGTTTGTGGGGAGAAGCATAATTATTGTACCGACTTGCCAAAGAGTAGTCATATGGAAAATGAATTGATGTATGCAAGGATGATATGCTAGCAAATATATCTTATGAATAACATGCATATTGTAGTCGCAACTCTGCTTCACAAACTTCAATTGAGCTGAAGCCTCTGCTGTAGCTTCTTCCAAGACGCAATACCCCTCTGCGCATGCTGATCGGGTACATGTTGACCCTCTTCAGCCATCGTTCTCGAAAACAACTCCATCGAGATCCATCCCTTGTATCCCAATCCCGACGTAATAGTTCTTGCAACATCTTCCACAGGCAGATATACTCCGCGGTCCTCCTCGTACATGTAAGCTCTCGCATTCCGCGACCAGTTCATCCGCGCCGGCTGACCATCCACGTAGAACGGATGACCCGGGACCAGTGGTGATTGCAACCTCTCTGCATCTACAACCTGAAGATAAAAGACCTTCGCAACATCGACCTCGGCCACCATCCGCTCGAGCGACTCCTTCAAATCTGAATCCGCATTGGCCGTCTTGCCGGTTGGCGAGGTGGGGTCGGCCCACACCTTCCCCGCGATGTTGAAGGTGTCAAGACACATGCCGAAATTAGGTCGGTCAACGCGCTTAACCACATCCCAGACTTTCTCCCAGGTGTCGTTGACCGTGCTCCAGCAGAGATTCTCATACGCATAGCGAATAACGGGAGTTTCGGCGGCGCCCATATCCGCCAGTTGCCTCAGATCGGCCACTATAACATCAATGTCGTCCGTAAGTTGCTCTGCCGGGAGGAAGTTGGCGGGGATTTGGATGGTGGTGGTGTCCAAGCGTTTGGCGAGCTGCAGCCACAGTTTCATCTTTTCAATCAGCTTTGCATGCTGCTCTCGGTCTTTGAGTCCCTCGTAGAAGAGGAACGGCTGCAGCGTGATAATCTCGAGGGAGTGGGCTTGACAGATTGAGTGGATCTTATCTGCTGCTTGGAGCAGTTGATCGGATGTTGGGGTGTCATTCTTGGAAATCCCTCGTGCGAAATAATCGAGGTCTTCGTAGAAAAGCTCTACTCCTTTGAAACCTGCTTTTGAAGCTTGGTCCATCTTATATTCAAAATCATGGAGCCAAGGTCGTCCCAAGGAGACACTCATAATAGCAGGTTGATAGGCCATGGTGTCTCTGTATCGGAATTTGAATTTGACAATGAGTTAAGTTGGTGAGATATTCCTGTGGAGGATGTTGATGCTATGTACGCGGAGTCCACGGGTTGTGGGGTAAGAAGGTCTTGCCGTTGTCGGTTCAGATCTTCGCCGTACGTACGGAGGAAGATTCTACGATTGGGTCTAATGAGATATTTCTGCATGTTGACTGTTGGCATATATGACTTGAGAAGTCTCGGCCCTGGTGCTTTTCTCCTCTCAAGAAATCATCTCTTCACCCCAAGAGGAGGAAGTCGTCGCCCGTTATTGGGGTTCGGGTAAATCAACACCGATCACGTGATACGAACGGCATCAGCTTGGATGACCATGAAAGCTCGAGAACCAATGGCTTTTATTTATTTCAGAGCACATATGCCCATTCTTCGACCTTCAAGTGTTCAAGTGTTTGCGGGGCATGTGATCAATGTCGTTGGTGAAAGTCCAAGTGTGAGGGAACTGCCTGCTTGCTCCACCGCAATCACATCGGAGCACTCGGAAACACACGACTACTAAGGGATATAGACTTTGGTCGGTGAGTAAAAAGCTGGATAGGGGGTAATCCTCATACGAGATCAGTTAGATAAAGACCTATCAACATAATGTTAATTTGTTTCTACACCTCGACTAAAAGCAAAACTCGATATTATAAAATGAGAAAACGTGCCGCGAAAAAAGAATCCCAGGCTTCTTTCATGCCAAAGATGAAACAATCGAAAGCCAACCCAGGCCAGCCGATGCTGCTTCGATCCCCTGAGTATCCTTTTGCGGGGGATGGGTGGCGCGAGCCAACCTCGACAACTGGACCGCGAGCAAATGCTCTCTGAAATACATATCCAAGCCACCAACCATGTGAATGCTGTGATCAACACCGCTCCCTCCCTTCTTCTCTCCCCAGCACAGCCTGGGGCCAACAATTTCATCTTCCATCTTGCCGGTCCTACTTCCACTTTTAGCCCACACCCGCTTCGTCTCATACAAAGTCTCCCAGGCGATGCCAAAGCTCCCAAACATCCCGCCTTCCTTCTTACCCTCTGCCGCTGCACTCTTCCAAACGAAATTGCGACCTCCATACTCAAATCGTCGCGGCGACCAATCCTTTCTCTGCATCTCCCCATCCGGAATCTCGGTAATTGCGCCTATATCGGGGATTGTCCGTGTGGTCATCCGGAAACTGCCTCCTTTAGTCTTCTGCAGCTTCACACTCGTCGCCCCGATCTGAGGTAAGAATTCCCCGGCACGTCGGAGTACCGTGTCGACGATGGGTGCCTCGTTGCTCCAGACGAATTGGAGGGCGTACAAGACGTGCGTGTTGGTCGAGTCTTTGACGAAAAACCAATATGAGCGCAGACCCAGGTTGACCAGCTCCGAGGAATGCGTAATCCGGTACGTGACTGGGGGCGCCGACGGAGAAAGAGTCAGCGAGAAGAAGGGGCGTTGCGAGGTGTCGGTATTGAGGAATGGCTGGAGGTGGGCTGGAGCTGTGCTGATATCCTTTGCAGATTGACTGGGATCGTCTCCGCGGAAAGTATTAAGATCCTTGCGAATCTGGCAGTTGATCAGGGTCAGTGATCTAGAAGAGGTGTACGGGGTCCTGGACTGTGTGGTTTACCTGGGTCAACGACCAAGTGGTTCCGTCTTCGTTTTCCACCTCCTCCATCGCATCCAAAATCGTCGGCGGCAATATTATACCATCGAAGCTGCCCTTGCGCTTTAGGTCTTCGAGATAGGCCAGGCGCTCTCGATGAACTTGGACCTGTCTCTCAAACATTTTTCTGTTGATTTTGAGGACATTTCCTTTCTTGTATATTTTGATTGCTGAATCCAAAACAGTGATGGCATTTTTGTAGACTTGTATGGCTTCATCGTACTCGCCCTTGCGTTCCAAAATGAAGGGCAAGGCGGCGAGCTTGTAGACCTTATTGTTGGCATCGATTTTTCCTGTCATTGCGTTGGTCGGAAAATAGTATATTAATTTGAAAGATGGGTTCTATATCTGGTAGTAGTGATCGGTTGAGTTAGTAGATCTTTGCATTCCCATGGCGCTCCTTTATAATTGAAGACATCGGAGCTTTTCTTTGTAGCTTATGCCAAGGTAGGAATATGCCTTGCCAAGGAGCTTCCGTGTAAAATCGAGCCTATATAGGACATGAGTTCGTGTGGCAGTTGTCGCTAACGCTTGTACTCGAATCAGGGTGCAGCTTGGGCTTCCTTTGGGAGAAAGAACTTGGCATTTTGATGCAAATGATCACCTGCAGTATCAGCGATGAGTCCATGACAGTCTGTCTCACAGAGCCTTATGAACTTCAGTTGAGATATGCTTGGCTGATTCTTGGAGAAAAGGATACTAACTAATCGCTTAGTATTACCCTCTTTGAAGCTTGGCAATGGCTTAGCGGGGAAGCACTGGCTTTGGGGCACATGGCCGTCAAGCACCTTGAAACATATGGTGACTCAGCCTTCAGGTCCTTCGACTATTTTCAAAAAGTTATGTTTGCGAGGCTTCGGCCAAATCAAAACAGCGCGCATTGAATCACGAAGGAATGGGTTGAGGGATCCACTGAGGGAGCTACTATTTTCCATCTAGGGACGTGACCATGATAATGTGATAAAGAACAAGGGCCTCTCAAACGTAACTGGAATTCTTACGAAATGGATCCCGACCAAGGCTTTGATGCCTTTCTAGCATGGTGTATTGACACGGTCCGTAACTACAAGGAAAGAGTGCTAAAAGTCACTTTCGACACTCACGCTTGAATAGAAACGTATAGAACTTGAACCCATTTTCAATATCGGGTGCCATAGAGATAATATACTACTTTCCTCACTAACAGTGCCAGTGCCGCGGCCACCACCTCTGTTTTCTCCACCAAGCTCAGTGCAAACGTGATTATGTTAAAATTGAACACAAGTAAGAAACATCCGATGCTTAATCTTCCTGTCCAAGCTGTGACATGTGATTATAGTGCGGGGTCAAATCTATCACACAAGATTCCGTCAGCCATTCTTCTCTGATCACTGACACATAAAGTGATTGCTTTATTGATCAATATTCGTGATAATAGTCCTCAGGAACTATACTTCAAGATGCAGACTACAGTCTTTGACAAAGCTTGTGCCTTGGAGCTTCTAGAATTTGCGAACCCTTTTCTTGAGGAAAAGGGTCTTTCGTCACACTCATGGGCCAAAATGCCTAATCCTGCTTGCTCCGCTCCCCTCCTTCGAGTATGGGACAAAAACTCTGGCAGTCATCCCGATCAATCAAATAGAATGCTGGCTCGTTTGCCCCGACAGCGGTTGGGTTCGCGAGAAAGTCGAGAAAAGTCACTAGCCACACATGCTGCCTATCAGATATGGGAGCCAACGCCATTCATATCCTTTACTGCATCAGTATTAGGTCTGCAAAGATTCCTGTCCAGGAGAAAGGGGCCACGGTTCCCGCGAACACTTACGGTTATCAATCCAAACGTTCGCATCGCCAACGGTCTACCGATACTCGAAATGGAATCAGAACTAAGATATTACGAAGTGCAGGACCCATATAGAAGGGCGTATTCTTTCTATAAAGATGAATATCTCTGTCTTTGGGAGGTTACGCCTGATGAGGTCGTAGCACACTGGGACTGGGATGACCTTATCGAGGACGTTCATTGGTACGAGGACAAAATACTACCTGCTTTCAAGGAGCACAACGATCGCTTCTTACGCAGAAGTCAGATTGAGACGACTTTTGATATGTCAACACTGCAAAGTGCTTTGCCCGGCATGTTCTCTTTCTCAGTCAACAGAGACGAACTGTCTGGGTCAGACCTGGACCATTCTCCTGAAGCAGACTCATTTCCAAATGAAAATTGGAGTTTCTCAAGCGAGGAGGAGAATTGGCAGGTTGAAGATGACACTTATTGGGACACAGACGATGAAGTGGAGGAGTCCAACGCGATTGATGATTCATATAAGATCCTTGAAGGCGACTGGTGAAAACGATCCTTGCAGAACAGGGAATGGCGAAGGTTAAAGAAGGGTAGATTGATGTCTACCCTGGCCCTAAATAAAACCGCATGGAGCAACCCTGTGATTCAAACACGAGATGTCAAAGGCTCACAGTATCACCAAAAATATGACTTTTTCCTCGTGTCAATCATTATGTTTCAGACATGCAAGGCAGCAGCTGCCGTATGAATTCTACCCTACACTAAATCATAGATATTACCGGGCTCACTTCAGTAACTTAGTTAATTCTATAGTATCAGAACCTTTTTAAGCTTCTTCTCCAATAACAGCTGCCAGAAGGCATTTGGGGGTCCCTGTAGGAGCTATACACCACCATTACACGCTAGTGTATTTTTAAAAAAGCAAAAAAAGGTTGAGACAGAACTTTTGAAATGGACCTCCATAGGTACTATGTACTGTAAAAGATCCCCACAATGCTAATGTTCCTCAGGCCACCGGCTTAATTAAAAAGGTAAAAGAAAAAGGGTCGGGGGAATTGAGGCTGAGGGTCCCGGCTAGGCAGCCAGGCAGTCCAGCAAGGGACTAGCTTGGTGGAAATTGGCCCTGGAGCCCCGAGTCCACTTAGATAGGCATATCATGTGTTACTTGGAATATTTCGGCACTCTTTTTCTATCTATAAAGTTCTAACGAGCGCAATATTTTTAGCCTAAGAGTACAGCCACACCGTAACCGCCAAACTACAAAGTACAGGAATTGGAAATTTTCGAGTCCCGGCCAGGCTTGCCCTGTCTGGACCCTTCCGAGCTATTTTGGTGGCCATTAAGGGGTCCAGGTGGCCGCACTAGCACCGCACTAGCACCGAAGAGGAAAGAAAATATCTCTTAGTCGGCTAGAATAAAAGGAACCAGCCAATGGGAAGGCTTCGTTTCAGTTGTAGATTTCCAAGCTTTCCAAGGTTTCCGTCTAGATGCTTACCGCGCTGAAATTGAAATGGACTTATATAACTATCTCCAAGTCCATCTTCTTGTCTCCTTTTCACGTACAAATTCCATTTCTGTCGCTCGTTGACTACCCCGACATTCGTTAATTCGTCATTTCGTTCATTCATTCATTCGTTATTCATTCAATACAACATGCGTCTCCAATCTCTCGCTCTTTTGGCCGGTGCCACTACAGCCCTCGCTGTCCAGACAACCTCTCTTTTCCTCCCCGGATTCGACGAGCAACGAATTGATGGCAAGGTCATTGGCACTGTATGTGCAATCATCCTCTCTGTTGATTTAGCACAGGAAGTTGACTAATATCTTTCCAGAGCGGCTCCATGACCAAATATTATCTCAAGTGCGCTCCCAATGTTGACGCCGACGAGTGCGGCCTTCCCTTCGATGGTATGACCGTGGCCCAAGGCCCTTCAACCGTCAGCCTGGCATACAGCACAGAGGATGTGTAAGTAACTATCTGCACCACTTATATATACCCCCACACTCAGAGCTGATCCTTTCCCGAAACAGCACCATCAGCGAGAGCTGCAAGTTCGATTCCATAAGCGCGACGTGCGGCGCAACCGTCGTGACCGATGGCAGCACCTCCTCGTGGCACTCGGCCATCGCAATCAGCGAAATCCCCGGTGGCGTGTACATGCCCGTGACTATCACTGCAACTGGAACTGACGGCTCTTCCGCCACCACTGGTGCTGCCGTCTCCGCTTCTACGGCCGCTTCGACTAGCGCTGCTACTATGACTACCTCTGCTTCTACTTCTGATAGCACCGCTGCTGGAACTAGCACTGGAACTAGCACCGGAACGAGCACTGACAGCAGTGCTGCTGCCACCAGCCAGACTGAGACTGGTAATGCTGCTATGCCTATGATTACTGGAAACGCGCGCTGGGCTGCCGGTGGTGTTGCTGCTGCACTGGCCCTCGCCGCTCTCTGATCATCGGGTCGTTTTCTTGGGATGAACTTGGATGCCCAACTTCGTTAATGCCTGTCTCGATAAATATGTACCTTTCTCATGTATAATATGCAATATACGAAGCGTGTAATACTTTGTACTTCGGTCTGATAGACCTTTCAAAACCTATATTGTTGGCGGTCGAATATGTACTTCATATTCACGCAACACAACCGGAGGCCTTGCAACATGTACAATGAGCGCCATCTAAAGCCTCTATATCTTCACTCTGCTTTATGGAGTGTAAGTTACGACTTGCGGTGCATGACGCCAGCCGAAGCCTATAGATTGTCAGAACATGTCTATAACAAGATTTAACCGCAAAATAAGCTTACCTGGTGGCTGGGGAAGACCAGGGTATCGGCGATCACAACGTTCTCGCGACGCCCAGCTGCAAAGACAATCACCTCGGCGATGTCATCACCGGTCAATGGTTCGACGCCCCTGCCAATTGTTAACTATATTCTGTTTCAGTTCCCTTAGCATGGCTTACTTGTAGACAGCATCAGCCTTAGACTTGTCTCCATAGAATCGCACAACGGAGAACTCCTAATCACGATATTAGCTTCATATCAAAGGCGAATAATATATGCGATGCCCATACCGTCTCAACTTGACCAGGATCGATTTCAATGATACGGATTCTCGTGGCGACGAGCTCCTTTCTCAGAGCATCAGTGAACGAGCGGACAGCCGCCTTGGTGGAGCAGTAGATGCTACCACCAGAGTAAGGCTCGCGGCCGGCGATACTGCCAATGTTGATAATATCGCCACGGCCACCCTCAGAGCGCTTCTTGAAGATGGGCAGGATGGCCTGGGTCATGTTAATGAGACCAGTGACGTTGGTGTCAAACATGACCTTGATATCCTCGGCAGCAATCGAAGGTGCCTGGGCAACACCCTTGACCAAGCCACTTTCACCGTGAATGTCAGTATCGACCGTGCATATCAATCAGTTTAGCTTGGTGTGCATGACTCACGCATTGTTGACAAGGACGTCAATCTCCCGGAACTCCTCGGGCAGGGAGGAAACAAAGTTGCTCACTTCCTCTGGGTTGCTGACATCCAGCTTGACGGGAAGAACCTGGACACCATTGCCGACCTCCTTCGTGATCTCCGCCGCGACCTCCTTCAATGTGTCGATGCGGCGCGCGGTAAGGATCAACTTCAGGTTCTTGGGCGACGTACGGGCGAACTCCTGGGCAGTGCTCTTTCCAATGCCAGATGAGGCACCGGTAATGACGATAGTCTTGCCTTCGAGGCGCTTTGCCATTGCGGAAGCCATGGTGCGTCGGATAGAAGTTCGGAAGGTGGGGCTTGCGAAGAGAGCTGGGGATGTAGAGGGGCGTGAGAGTCGTTGAAAGAGTCCAATTAATCTGAAGCACGCTCGTAGACGGGTCATGGATCGAAGTCTCTATTTTTCAAGGAGAAATGAAACGCAGAACCCAAAATAAATAGATTGATCACGAACGAGTGCGGGGACTCTGGCGTCATATTGTGTTATGTAATCCCAGACAACGCTCGCCCGCGATCGGCAAGAAGGCCGATATTTCTTATCTCGAGATAATCGTGCCAAGCCCCCACTAGTTATGGGCCACGAATCGACGTACGTGGGAGTAATTCCACCCTTGCCGAAATAGGAACCTACCGATGACTATTCCCGTATAGCTGGGTAGTGAATTGGGTAATTGTGCAGGGAGTAAGAAGCTAGCTTGGGAATTGAGAAAATCAAAGTGTTCATTTTGTGCCTATGTATCTGCTGTATGGAATATCTATACAAAAGATACTTAATGCACAGTGACTCACAAACACAGCAAAGATGTTGTAGGGCGCTTGACACGGTTTTCGGAGGTCATGTTGATAATGGAGTTTGTCTCTGAATGCCTCATCATATTCTTTGTACTCCTTAGAGTGACTAAGATGGGAGACAAAGCCCCGTAGGACTTGTTCAAAGAAATAGTTCCTCTTTAAAGGAAAATGCCCTAATTGGGATGGTCATCTTGAACATGACAAAGGGCCAAGTGCATGATCATGGTGATTAACGCGAGACTCGTTGTAGCTGGACAAAGATCAAATGAATGCCATTGTCTACATTTCCTTGGAGGACATCGATTCATAGTTCTAAAGACCAGGTACTGCCCCCGATACATCTAATAAATAACCTTGATGATACCCAGCAGTGTACAGCAATCACAGCGTCGGCTCTTTCCCTTGAGCCCTTTTTTGATCGTTTTGTTCAGACAGAGAGAGCAAGGGTCGTTCCTTCTATATCCAGCGCAGCAAAAACACCACGGTAACCTACCACCTCTTCCTAGATACAACCTTGTTGACATTCTAACATTTGCTTCATGTGCATATATCCTAGAATCACGACCACACGGCTCGATTGCAATTACTTACATGGGATATTGATGACAACATCTATCGGATATTACAAGATATTTCATCAGGATGCCTTCTCCAGCCAGGGTTTGCTATATGACTCCTCTGAACATTGTGTCAAACCGTAATGGAAGCTTACATGAATCTTCTTCAACCCAGAAAGCTTCATCTGATGAGCTTCTTCGCCGGTGTGATTTTGATTGGGCCGAAGATGTTGGGGACGCTGCGACCAACGATAATTCACATATGCCCATCACACCAGACCCTCTTGGTTACCCATTGCCAAAGCCAGATATACACAATGAGATATATCCTACTACTCGCTATCTTAGATATCCCAATTATAGGCCATCACTCCCAACTGTCTATGAAGAAGTCTGGGATGAGACATTGGGCTGGGTACATGGCACTCAAGATATAACCTCCAGCTCTTCTGAGAGAATATTCACAGACTCCGATGATGATACTACCGATCTTTCAGCATACGAGGGATCTCCCATCAATGACGAGTTAGCTCAGAACATGTTCACAGTCAACGGTGAACCAGACCTCCACTTGGCTGCACAACAGTCTATCAACAATATCTTTGGGGACCGTCAGGCCTGGATCAATGCCGATACAGGGATTCATCACTTCAACTGGATGGGGCTACGAGTTTACACACGCAGCTCGACCTCTCCGTCTGATTCGCTAGCCATTATCCTCGCAAAGCCAAAAAAGCCACAGGGAGGTGCCATGTGGAGAGTTTACTCAGTTCTAAACCGAGCTACCCAGTACATTGACCCCGTACTTGTATTTTTGGATCACCAAGATGAAAGTTTGTTTGAACTCCGAGGCTCAGAGCTTGTACGTGCCTCCGCTGGACGTGTTTTCAAATTTTATTCGCCTCATGGAATGTGGATGGAGGATTCGAGCGATACGAATGACGATATTACGACAGACTTTGGTAATACCCGGACTTACGAAGCGACAGGTTTAGCCGTTGGAAATGGCTTTGTTGAGTCGAGTGCCATTCGCTCACTGTCACAATGGACTGAGTGCCGTGATGAAGCCTCTGAAGCCGCTGAGAGATCGAGTCGGTTTCCCCGACGGAGGACTTGGGAGCGGAAACCCTCACCACTGCGACAATGCGAGTCTATAAAAGACTCAGAGTACCCTGAGGCCTCAAGCTCACTGGCGTTCAAGCAGGCGAAGAGACCGCCTCGTAAGATTACAACTTGTGTAGCTGGGGCACCGCGTGAAGAATATTTCTCCTTCCCGACTCCTATCTTTGGTCGCTATAGGGCAATCAAAAAAGCATTCCAAAAGGTGCAGCGGGGGTGGAAATCGATGCTCAGATCAATCAAGCACACTCTGAGCTAGGTAGTAGTCCCTCTTCTCCTCGATCGGATTAGCTTTGCATCTAATTTAGATTGTTTGGATCTTGAACTCACATTTGGCAGGTTTCACTTTGCTCTTTGATTGCCGCCTGTTTGGATTGATCAGATTGAGCTTACTCTTTGGATTTGCTCAGGATCAGCTTCCATTTGGCAAGGATTTTTGTGGATTTTCTATTTTCTCCATGTCGATATTTCAAATTTATTGTTGAGAAAATCAAGAACCAAAGAAAGGGCCGTGTCTCTTACGTTCAAATGTTGTCTTTCTTTCATTTCCTTTATCTGACTATCAGCTTGGTTTTGGGCCACTTTCATATCTGGATGAGTCCATCATGCCTTCGTTTTAGTTTCATTTGTGCGAGATCAAGATCTATGCTGTACATCCTTATCAAAGAATTTATGAAGGCTTCCTTCAATATAAAGCAGACAAGTAGAATGCGTACATGTTTTGAAGTTCTAAATCTCATGAGCACAAGCGGCTGGGTATATATATTCTTCATGGATGGCTGGCAAGCAACGTTGCCGGCGGTGGCTGTCCAAAGGATATCTAATGGCGAATGATCACGTAGTGTCTTTATGAGAAACAACCAGAGCGCATTCGGCTAGATGATGTCGGAGGAGAGAAGGAGAGGTGAACATGTAATGGCGATCGTACTACGTTGTATCTGTAAAGAGGAAAACAACTGGTGTCGATTCTGCTAAGTTCTCATGGACAGAAGGGAGAGAGAGAGAGGAAGAGAAAGCGGAACTATCTGGTGATCTGTACCCACATGGGTGACTGCCTTCCGGACACCCAACAATATCTGATGCAATCCGGTAGGCTCAACGCGGACTTGATTCATAAGTCTCCATTCTCACCCGCTTTCTGACAGAGGATCTATAGAAAGGTATGATAGACTCCGCTCGCATCTTTCAAGTCTTCCATCCACCTTCCATGTGGCGAGTAAAACTTAAACCAGGCTTGGATTCTGAACTGCACTCGACATGGCCAAAATTTGTTGATATAGTGCTGGATGGCGTGATTTCGAATGTCATGCCTTGTATGGTCCCCCACTCGATGACGCTCTTGAACTCCGTTCCTCCGTCGAGGCGCCAAATCCTAGGGTATCTCCCGGTCCTAAGCTTGATCTTCTCGTAGAACGATTTCAGCTTAACGGATGCCTCGCCCTTATTGGTTAGGGTTGGTCCTTCGAGGTAACGGGTCGCATCGTCGAAGGAAAAGTAGTCTGACTTGCAGACACTTCCTCGAGAGTGCCGTACCTCGTCGGCCCCTCGGAAGAAAACGAAGAAGACTCCTCCGACGAGTCAAGTATCTGACCACTGTGTTGTTGTCCTTTTTCCTCAAGCACCTTCCGTTATCTGGATCTTTGCTGTACCCGAATGCATAAATGCAAGTGACACCTCAGGTGTTCGTGTATAAACTGGCCAGTCGAGCCAGATCTAGTGGTGGGTTGTACCATCCTGGTTGCAAATTGCCGCTCGGTACTTGAATTTGTCGAGCTAGCACCGGGAGACCGTCACGAGCTGCAGAATTCGAGCTAATCTTGACAGTTGGACTGGCTTCAAGGACCCAAGAGGTACGAATGAGCGCTCGAAGATTGGGAAGTATTGACTGTTGGATTAAAATAACAGTGCGATCCCTATGCTTCTTGTTGCACACTTGCCTAGGGCACAGGCTGTTGCTGCGTGCCTAGATCCCCCCAAACACCCAGCTTCTTTGGCTGACTCTAGTACCCGATTGGATGTCAGGACTCGATAGAGTGTCTGGCCCCGCGAGCAGGGGACGTATAGGTCATTGGCGCGAACATCCACAACATGGTGAAGTGCAGACTTGTGATTCTCGATTTGCTCGTTGATAGTGCGGGCCAAGCTCGCACCCCCCGAGAGGAAAACCTGATCGCGATAAATCTGCATTAGGTAGGATGCATGTAGATTATCCTATCGATTTTAGCCACAATTAGTCTCCTAGTCCCCTCACAAAATAAATAGGCAGAGTGGGGAAGACATACTATCCGAGTGATTGTGAAAAGCCATCCAACTCCTAGCCAAGATGATTCCTAAAGGGAAGGAGCCGTTGGGCTTTGTGTATAAATGAATATATCATGAATGGCTTCTGTAGCAATGAGAATGCGATATAATAAACGATCACCTAAGAAAAAGAATATATATGGATTTATAAATGATGGTGATATGAAAATAGAAAGAGAGCCAAGGAGGCAGAGAGCTGGCTGTCGTTATATCTAGGTCCTGACTTACGAGGGCCTTAGGCCATCAAGCATTATTCTGTGGCGGAGGGAGAGAATGTCACGGTCTACGATTAATCGCTATCATGTGCTTCATGTTTGCTCGTTTGCTCGCTCGACTACTGTTTGCATTCCATAGATTGTTTGTTAGATAGCTAAGCGAGAAGGTTGGTTGTTTGCAACGTTTGCAAAGTGGTCAGCTATGTCATTCCACTTTGCAACTTGCTTCTTCTTTGTTCATCCTACGTTTTAGTTGAATGCACTTCATAGGGACCGCACTCTTTCCCTTCGACGAGGACGCACCCTGTGATGAGGGAAAAGGCGTGGCATCCGCACCGAAGGAAAAAGGTATTGTTAACTTTTCAGGTGTACGTTCCTAATCGGGTAACTACTGCATCTTACACCCCTTCCGATTTACTATACCGCCTTCGCGGGAAATAGCAGCTACCGATCATGTGATATTTTTGTGTGTTTTTGATTACTAAGTTTGTCCACAAGATTGCCATTTTCGGAGCAATTGTTTTTATTTTTAGTTAGTTAAAGATTTTATTGAGGTTTTCTGCCACATATACACTCGCCTTATCATCGATTTTCCACCACTTTTCACTATGTAAACCGGAAGTGGGCAGAATATACGGCAGAAATTATGGCAGAATACATTGTCGTGCCTAATCGGGAAGGTTGTACTGAGGGTTGCATCAACAATCCTCATATTATACTTTGTTCGAGCATAAATAGTGTACTATGTAGCAGTATATGGGCAGAAGGAAACACCTAAAATGGTTGAGTCTCCTTTTTCTTTGGTGGAGAGTCCTCGGGGGTCGTTGAATCAACGTTCCCCGACATTTTGGGCTAAAGGATGGTGACCGACTACACGAGGCAGTAGATCAAATTGGGTTTTTGTACTCCGTATGTACAGTAGAACGGCCAAGAATGCGACGGTCGACAAATCAAAAAGTCGAACGGCCAGCAAGATTGGCGGTCAACCAATTGGAAGGATGGAAGCGCACTGTGTGGAGTGCAGTGACCGGGATGTAAGTCTCGGCCGGTTGGAATTCCGATTCGCGAAATGAGATTCCAGGATGGGGCGGTGCGATGCTAGCACCAATGGGAGGAAATAAGGGATTGAAGCTTGCAGTGATGCAGAGGCTTCAAGAACGAGGGCTTATGACCTGTTTGAGATGGAATCAAGAAGTCTATGGATGAAAACGTAGATACTATGGAAAGTCTCGTGAATTGCGTGAGGAAAGAAAAGGAAACTACCTATGCGCTGGGACTAAAGTAGTTGTCGGGAGCGGAGAGAGGTGACTTCGAACAGTTCCTTTTCAAATGGGTGAAGAAATATCAGAGTGCAGTGAACTGAATCAGAGTGCGAACTCATCACGATATCAGCTGCGAGCAATAATAACCTGTAAACAAAATTCTATTCTTCAAGTATCTAGCGCCAAACTATCATATGATATCCAACCATATGAAAGCAAGCCAAAATGAAACCAATCATAGAAAGGACCGTAGTCCTAAAGTGACTGAAATGTCACTTGACAGTGGCAGCATTCCGAGAAAGAACCTCAACCTCAACCCTCCTTAGTCTGACAATGATGAAAGAGTCTCAGGTAAAAGCACGCGTGGGGTGAAAGCTGCTCTTATCAAATGCAATGCCCTCTTCATGAATCCCCACATGATTCCAAGGGGGAAAACGAACATTTCGCGGGGGATGTTACTAAAAGTAACCAGAGGCTTTTCGATGAATATGCCCATACTGCCAAACGGGAGAGAAAATACTGTATTAGGAACAGTGGTAGGCACAGGCCAGGTCTTCTTCATGATGGTTCTCATAATTCCAATGGGGAAAACGACAGAGCTGTGAATCGTCTTTGTGGTGATCCGAGCCTTTTGAGTATTGCCCACGATCTCAAGTGGGACAGAAGAGAAAGTGAGGGGTCGGCTTGGTGGTGATAGCTCCTTGGATGATGTCGACTCGATCTTGAGCTTGGAAGGCGTCGGCTTCCAAGTGCGTTTCCGAGGAGAGCGAACGGGTTCCTTGCTGGCAGCAACTAGTTGATCTCGCCAATCCAACCACTCATATCGAGAAATAAACGGTCCACCTTCAAGAAGGCCATTTGCAACGGCGAATCGCCCGATTGCAAATCTTTCCAATTCTGACTCCCCAGCATCAGGAACGATCCTTCGCCGCATTGAGAAATCATCACTCATCCAATTTCCGTGGAGAGAATAGTGAGTGTAGGTGAGACCTTCGCATGCTTCAATCATTGCAGACCCATACATTTGCAAGATACCTTCGTCCCCTCTGTCCACTTTTAAAATGACAGGGTCAATGTACTCGATTGCACATTTCATGATCGAGTTTACACGGAGCTTATCTCTTCCCCGTGGTGCTTTCGGTATAGCTTGCATAAAAGCAAGTGAGACCCCTGGTGGGGTGGCAGTTCGTGTATAGACTGGCCAGCCCAGCCAGTTCCAGTGGTGGATAGTGTTATCCTCATTGCAAATTTCAGCGCGATAATTGAACTCATCAAGTTCTGGTTGGGGACTGGCCAGCTGTAAATTTTGAACTGGCTCCGTGGTCGAGGCGGAATTTGGGATATCGAGCGACTGATTAAGTTCGACTGGCTGCGGGGAGTCAATAATTTCATTGGAAGACATGGTAACGGCCATCTCAGGCTGATGGTCCATGGCGAGAGTGGCCTCAGCATTATCGACCGAGTCGGATGTCTCGCGGTGC